TCCTTTCTTCCTTCCTTCCTTCCTTCCTTCCTTCCTTTCTTTCTTTCTTTCTTTCTTTCTTTCTTTCTTTCTTTCTTTCTTTCTTTCTTTCTTTCTTTCTTTCTTTCTTTCTTGCCAGAGTTTCTTGGCAACCACTAGCTGCAGTATGGTGTGATGCAAAGTTTTGGATAGTGGGCGTGTATAGATATCAGGCCTTTATTCGGCTGAATGATTGGGATCTGTTGTGAAATTTCTTGCAGCCGAGGGACTAGAAACCAACCAGGAATCTGCCAACAGCTAGAGAAACCGAGGAAATTTAGTAGATATAAGAGTTCAGATAGGATAATTGTGTGGCGCAAGCAAATATCACACAGAATTAAATTGGGCCTTTATTTTCTGCTGCTAGAAAGATAAGCCACGGAATTGATTAGTTTTGGTAGGAAATGCTTTGATCCTTTATATTCCAGGAGGGTGAAGAGAGGTCTGCGAAAATAAATGGCAGGCAATGCAGTCTCATCTACGGTTGATAAAAAGAGAAGACTTCAGGAGGAGGAGAGTAGAACTGATTAAGAAAGAACGTTCATTGATCAAGGCAGATGAGATAAACAGTCAAAAATAATCAAGATTATTAGATCTTTAAAAAGGCAACAACTGTTGATAAGGTTTGGGTGGGATTCAAGAGCTATGCAGAACGTCTGGGATTGTCAAAAGACAGTGTGGAAGGAAAACAAAAGTGAATTTGTAGACTATGTCTAGATGGGCGGCATATAAATGCAATAAAAAATAAATAAATAAATAAATAAAATTTCATGGTTCACCAGGCTCTGAAGAACCTCCTGAATCACCCAAATTTCAACGCTCTAACTTCTAACCACGCTGCTTGCTTTCAAGCGGCACCCTTTGATTTTATTATATTTTGACGGCTTTTATCGTTCTGACATGCTTCGGGCTTTGCTTACGACCATGAAAGGCGTGGGGTGTGTGTGTAAAACTGTTCCTAAAGGGGTGTATAAAGGAATATTAATTCAGGCTCCTCGCTAATGAGGATGTTTGCTAATTGGTGCATGAGTGTAGAATGTGGTGAGGAAGGAGTGGAAAAGAAAACACCTCCAGTCAGCTGGAAAAAATAATATTTGGCAGATCTTCATCACAGCTTCCCGCAAGAGAGAGGCCTGACCTTTATTGCTTGTTTTAGGACAGGAGCAGAAAAACTTGAAAGGCTCCAGACTATTGTGTTATTCTTGATGAATAGGTGCTGCACTATCAATCATCCTTCTTTGACTCCGAGGCCTCGGTCATCAAATAAGAGACATTCCAGAATATTCACCTAAATTGCTTTCCTTATCAGTAATCGAGGATACGAATCTTCAGGCTAAAAGCAATATAGCCTCCAGGCTTAGATTTCCTTAATGTATGTTGCAATACTGTTCTTGATTCAAACTTTTGGTACCCATTTTTTTAAAGTGCTTCTCAAAATGTGTTTTTTTACAGAATGTTGCCTTGTAAAAATGCCTCTCTCTCGAGTAGGAGAAAAGATCTTTAGGGGAACAGCTGTGACGATCTGTTGCTAAACATTATTTTTAAAAGAATATTTTTTTTAAAAAGGGCTTGTTGCTTGAAGAGGTAAAAGTTTTGTTTGGCACAGAAGCAAAGGAAGCTGTCATCTTTATTTAAAAATGTATATGCCAAATAAAACACTCTTTTTTTGTTGTTTCATTTCGAGAATTGTTCTTATCTCAAATAAAAACAAACATCGTGCTGGCCTTCATTGAATGGAGAGGGAAAGCTGTCGTGTTCAACTGAAGACATTGGTTATTGGGGTGTTATTTTTTTAAAAGCTTATGTTGGACACAACAATGTTCTGGATGTGATGGTATTGCTCAGGATCTGACCCTGGTGATGAACCAGAGGTGATTCCACTGAAGACATTGGTTATTGGGGTGTTATTATTTTTTTTAAAGCTTATGTTGGACCCAACAGTGTTCTGGGTGTGATGGTATCAGGATCTCACCCTGGTTATGAATCAGAGGTGATGCTAGCTGTGTTCTGCCCATCACAAATGCAGCTCAGTGGGGAGAAGACCCATGGGCACCATCTTGAACTCCTTGGTGGTGGAACCATGCCACGCTGGACGCCTGGTTGACACCGCCAGAGTCTAAAGAGCAGGGTGGCCCGTCAGGGGCCATGGCTGGTTAACTTTGGCAAGTGTTAGTCCAGGCCGGGTCTCAAGAAGCAACCCAGAGGGTCAGAAGCAAACAGTAGACAGGTTGATGGTTGAGTTTCAAGAGTCAAAGCTACCCATCTCAACACTGAGAAGACCCTCTTCCCTTTAGTTTCAAGAGTCAAAGCTACCCATCTCAAGGTGTTCGCACTGAGAAGCCCCTCTTCCCTTGTTATAAGACCAATGAGACGGAAAGAGAACTTTTTGCAGTGAGACAGAACCTTAAACCACTTAGCTTAATATTGTCAGCACTGGCTGGCAGCTCCTCTCTAAGATTTAGACAGAGTTTCTTCCTGCTCCCCAGGGATTGAATTTGTCAATTTCTGCACGCAAACCACATGCTTTTCCATTGGATGCAGAATCTTCCTTTCGATTCTTTTTAGACCATCGGATCCCGGTGGTCCGATGAGCTACGCTCTCCCGTGATCAACAGGTCAGGTACCACCTCTGTCTCCAAGCTACGGGGAGCAAGCTCATCTCCGTGGTGGTCCAGCCAACGACAAGTTTCAGAGATGCATCGGTGGGTCTCGGCATTGGACAGAAGACCTTCAGATCCGACATTTTGGCCTGGGCAGGATTTGCAGGAGGCCCCTGTTCCTCCACTTAGGTCTGCAAATCTGGACTCTGTAGGAGCCGGAAGACCTGTCAGAAGACAGTTGCTTGAACCTCAAAGGTTCCTCGTGGATTCAGACGATCGTAAACAAAACCCTGCCTAGCTAGACCAGCGTTCTGTTTACAGAAAGACAACTCGATGGCTATAAGAACTCAACAAGCCCATAATGAGAGCAATGGCCACCTTGTGCTCATTCTCCTCCAACCACTGGAATATACTGCCTCCAAGACTAGAGATGATCTATAGCCATAGATATTTTTTCTCCCCTCCTTACTCACTTTTATTTTTTGCAAACGAAACAGCTCAATCCAAACTGAAATGAAATCAAAAGAGGACCGAGACTAGGAAGGGTTGCCAGGAAGGAATTAGAAGTGATCATCAAATGTACGACTGTGCCACTGGAGACCGAGACCAAGATTGTCCCCACTCTTATATTTCTAAACCCTCTGGAGGCAAAAAATGATGACATGGAGGTTGTCGTACTTCAGGGACATCCTGATAAGACAGAATTCTATGAGAAAAGACCCTCATGCTGGGGAAAGGTGGAAGGCAGCAGGAAAAGAGGAAGACCCAATAACACGAGATGGACTGACACTTTAAAGGAAGCCATTAGTTTTGGTTTGCAAGAGCTGAGCAGCGGTGGAGGGGAGGATATGCTGGAGAGGGCTCATTTGTAGAGATACCAGGAGTCGGAAGCAACTTGACAGCGCACGAAACCGACGACAAAAACAGCTCCCAATTTCATCATTGGGGAGTTTGTTTCTGATCTGGAATGACTTAAAATTTCCTGGACGGCAGCCCTCGCCATGTGCAACATTCCATTAAAGCTTACGCCATACAAAGCTTGTTAAGTCTTTTAAGGTGTCGCTATGAAATGTCACCCTGGCGCTTTGTTTCCTGCAAGGGGGGACGGAAACGGCTAAAATATCTCCGCTCTGCCTGTCCTTTCCTTCACCTCTCCGGTTCTCTGCCTCCTCCCTGCCTGAGGGACCGGCTCGTGTCTCCCAGCTCTTGGTGGAAACCCAAAATTTCAAACCCATCTGGGACACCGAGCGCCTTGTTTTCATCTTATATAACTTTGGGGCCCGACAGCCGGTGGTTTCCCACGGATTGCAGCCTGTCCACCGGCCTTTGCCCATGGAGGGCCTCCCCAGAGGCTTCTGCGTGAACCCTTTTTCCTTAGCCAGCCACAGAAGCTGTCCATCCTGCTGGTCCAGCTGTGGCATCACAGCTGGGAATGGGCGTGCCGGGGAGGGGCTCCCGGCCAATGGTTGCACACGGATGGGGGATAAAAGGGAGGTCCCGGGACGCTTCCAGTCTCTCCCTTCTCCGGCCTGAGAAGAAGAGGGAAGCTGCAGCTGCAGGGCGTTTGCACGTTGGTTTAGACGGGCGGGCTGGCAGATTACGTCCTGGGTCTGAAGATGAGGGCGTCCTGGGGGCTGGCCCCTCTTGTCGCCCTTCTTGTGGGGCTCTCGGCTGGGGTGAGTGGCCTCCGTCTTCAGGAAGGGGTGGCTGTGGTTGTGTTCCTTGCAAGCAACCTCTGGGTTTGGGGTCACCAAAGACTGGCTGATTGATGGGGATCCGGTCAATTGGTGTGATTTGTAATTGTGTCAGCTGCCTTGGGTCCTTTTTAAGAAGAAAGAGGGGATAATAATCTTATAATAATAATTCTTTCTTTCTTTCTTTCTTTCTTTCTTTCTACCTCCCTTCCACTGTGGTTGTGTTCCTTGCAAGCAACCTCTGGGTTTGGGGTCACCAAAGACTGGCTGATTGATGGGGATCCGGTCAATTGGTGTGATTTGTAATTGTGTCAGCTGCCTTGGGTCCTTTTTAAGAAGAAAGAGGGGATAATAATCTTATAATAATAATTCTTTCTTTCTTTCTTTCTTTCTTTCTTTCTACCTCCCTTCCATCTTTTTCTTTCTCTCTCTCTCTCTCTTTCTTTCTTTCTCTCTCTCTTTCTCTCTTCCTTCCTTTCTCTCTTTCTTTTTTCTCTCTTTCTCTCTTCCTTCCTTCCTTCCTTTCTTCCTATCTTTCTTTCTCTCTTTCTCTCCTCCTTCCTTTCTCCCTTCCTTCCTTCCTTCCTTCCTTCTTTCCTTCCTTTCTCTTTCTTTCTTTCTTTCTTTCTTTCTTTCTTTCTTTCTTTCTTTCTTTCTTTCTTTCTTTCTTTCTTTCTTTCTTTCTTTCTTTCTTTCTCTTCCTTCCTTCCTTTTTCTCTCTCTTTCTTTTCTTTCCCCAAAAGGACCCAAGGCTGTTCTAATCTTACAATTGCAGAGCTATAAGGGGGACCCTGTGGATCATCCAGTCCAGCCACTGTCAAAGAGGTCCGGGCGGGTGGGGGAATCGGAACTCCCAACCTCTGGGTCCTAAAGAGACCTAAACTACAGAGTGATCTAGCAAATAAATAAGTAAATTGTGGACTTCCATCTAATGCAGTGAGAGCTTTAGATCACCAGAGTGCCTCCCGTAATAAATCTGTTAATTAACAAGGGACCTTTTAGGAAGTCATTCATTGCTGTACCTTTGGTTGCCAAAAGCCCAAAACAATGTGGTGCATGCCACACAGATATAAGATATCTGTAGGCGATTCTCTTATTTTCAGTATTCGCTGTTTGTTTAGTCACTATGATTCACAAGCAAGCCACTTGCTCTCCTGGCAGACATGCCGTGCGAATCTCCGCTCAGGATGAGAGCGGATTAAGCTGGGCACATGAACAATTAAGCAGAGTATATGGCACACTCCTTGCCATTTTCACCCAACTATTAAAGGCACAGAAGCTTTGCCTTCCTTTTCATGTGGCAACCTGGCAAAGACACAGGCGCGCTTGTAAAAGCTAGTCGTTTCCATCTGCACATCTTCGGATGTTTGTGATCCAAAGAGTTAAAGATGTTTCTAGTCGTTTCCTATACCGTGGTTGATTTATTGTGCTTTCTTCTTTGGGAATTGTTCATTTCTCTGCAGTAATTTAGAGCAGGGGGAAAAAAACTCAATAATCTAATACTAATTTTCTTATAAATTAAAAATAGTGAAATGGAAATTTGTTTGAAAATCTAACAACATGTGTATCCATGTCTTCTCCCAAGGCTAAAACCGTGTATTTACTGATTTGGGAGGTAGTACTGGCCATAAGGAGCCACTCTGTGTCACTATATGTAGAAATAATAACTTTTAAGATCCCACAGTACACTGTAGGTGGATCCCCATCAGATCCTCTGGTTGATTCAAGGTCCAAAAAAAAAAAGTAGAATGAATTCTAATTCTAAAACTTAAATTAAACTGCAGTGGAGGGCATAATAAATAAAGCAAACTCTTTCCCCTTGGTCTTCTCTTCTACACAGAGAATGTGTCTTCCAATTTAAGCGGGTGCAATGTAAAACACATGTTTTAAGCAGACTTTTCTGGGTTGGCCCCACCGCCCACTTTGTGGGCTGCGTTCCCTAGAGGGGTTGACCTGGTGCAATTGTATTGGGGGGGCTGCAAATGAAGAAAGCATATTAAAAACGATTTTTAGTGCTCCTTGATGTTCGTGGTTGTTTCGATTTACTTCCATACCCTAGCTATGTTGCTTTTGTCTTGGGTTTTATGACCTATGGCCTGCAAGAATTGTTGCATTGTGAGCATTTTATATTATTAATATATCGCACACCACCCTGGTTATCCCTTGATCGATGAATTGGTGGGCTGTAGATCCACCAATCAACACAAGGAAAAGATAGGTCTGGATTTTGGGCTGCTCTGTTAATCTGGGTGGGTCAGATCATCCTTGCCTCATTGAATTTTCCTTGCATAGTTTATCTTCTTTAAAGCAAATGAGATTTTTGTGGAAGTGAGACTCAGAGAGATTAGAAGGCATCAGCAGGAGCTGGTCCTTCTGAATGTATTCGATGTCACAGCTCAGGAGCGAGACTAAACAGGTGGGGTTAAAATAAAATGTAGATCCATCAGATTATGTCACTAGACCTGTTTGGCGAGGTTTTGGTCTCCCTGCCAGCAAGAAACCTTGGACTGTTATTGACAACGTCTTGCAGGATTTATCAACAGAAGAGTCGTCAAAATTGCTCGAGGGAGTATTGCAAACTTCGGTAACGCAGGTAGCATAAACAAAAACACAGTTCGGAGTCAAGTTTGTGACTCGTGCCTGTGTATTATTCGAAGTGGGTCTCCTTATGTCTGGTGTGGCTTTCTTGCTCGCCCGGATATCAGCCGATGAGGAGTAGAGAGGTTGGGCAGAAAGGGAGGACGATGGGTGTTGTAGTTAAAAAAACATCCCCCCCAAAAAAGCTTTTTCTCAAATCCTGCTGCTAGCCAGTCTAGACCAGCCATGTGCTCAACCCTGCATCTTCCCAAAATCATAGGCTTAAGACCAATTCTGTTCTCCCAAAGAACAGATCCATTGAGTGGATGGAATTTACCTAAGAATTGACTTAATATTCAGCAGTTGATTCAATGGGCATAAAGCCAAGGGACTGGGTAGTTAGAGCGCCAGGCCAGGGAGATCTTAAATCCCATCCTTGGTGAAGCAAAGAAGAGAGGAATTATGTAATGCTGCCTTCAGTTTATATTTGGAAATTCAAGATATACTTGTAACGAATAAATATTAATAAATAGCATTGTCATTTGGATGAGGGTTTAGACTACTGCTTCTGTCCTAAAAAAATAAAAGCAACTTTTGAAACACGGCATTAAAGAGTTGTTGGGTTTGCATTTACTGCTTTTAAAAAAAAGACGGTTTAAATGTCTTATTTCCCCCCTCTTGGTGTGGACGTCTGTCTAGGCGATGTCCCTCTCTGAAAAACACTGCTTTATATACCTTGAGACATTTTAGGGGATTAACATAGGAAGCAACTCACCTGTCTAATTTTCTTTCCCAGCCTGTTAGCATGGTGGAGCACGCCGAATTCCTCAAAGCCGGGAAGGAGCCCGGACTTCAGATCTGGAGGATCGAGAAGTTTGACCTGGTCCCGGTGCCGAGAAACCTTTATGGGGATTTCTTTACGGGGGACGCGTATGTGATTCTGAACACCATCCGGCAACGTAGCGGAAACTTGCAGTACGATCTTCATTTCTGGCTAGGTAAGGAAAGTATATCCCTTTTAAGCCCCTTCCTAGGAGGAAAAGCCCAGAACCTCTTGGGATTATACTATAGTACACTGTAATGTACGACTCAGTACTATCATTCTCCTCCCGCTTCTGATTTCTAGGGGAGCAGTGCAGCCAAGATGAAAGCGGAGCGGCCGCCATTTTTACGGTACAGCTGGACGACTACCTCGGCGGGAGGGCCATCCAGCACCGCGAAGTGCAAGGCCACGAGTCGCCGACTTTCACGGGGTACTTCAAGTCGGGCATCAAGTACAAAGTAGGTGGCCCCTCTCGCCCTTTCCTTTCCGAGGGTCGCCGGAGGTGTCTCATCTGCAAAGGGTTTCTTGATGGCTTTTCCTACCCTGGAGAAGTAAACGATGCTTAGGGTCCTCGTTTTTGGGACGATGATAAGATTTCCCATCTGGATATTTTAAAAGGGTTGCGGGATTTATCCGAGGGGCGGTAACAAAGCAAGTGATCTGGCATTGGGTCGCTGTGTGCCTCTGGGTGCTTTTGGACTACAATGCCCATAATCCCTGCCCATGCACAGCTGATGGGAGTTGTAGTGCAAAAAAAGAAAACACCCCGCATCTCGAGCGCCTCTTCCCAACATCTTGAATATCAAAGGTCTGATTTGTGTCCTATGAATCCGTTTGGAGGGGGAAACTGTTTATATATTTTCGTTGTTGATCTGAGCTAAATGTGGGGTCCTTCACGCACATGGACACTCATCCACACACTGCCTTCTCTTCCATTTTATGAGGGTTTTCAACGTACATTTCACGAGCTTAATTCCGCCTCCGGCGCCAAAAGAAATCTGTGACGTAGTGAATTTTCACAGACTCCCATTGACACGTTGCAATAAATTGCACATTTTAAAAGGAATACATACACGCCTGCCTGGCGTACATTTGATTTCCAAAATATCCAGGTTCATTGACCTCATCTGCACATCGATGCAGTGGGACAAACCTATCCAATCATCCTGCACACTATAACATGTGGGAACAGGATCTCTGGCTTGCCCAAGACATTTTGCTGTCTGAGGCAGAGTGGCCAATAGGGTTATAATACCGAAAGCTAGCCAAAGTATGTTGGCATAGAAAACGAACCATCAAATAACTCTCTCTGTGTCAAATAATAAAAATACAATGTTTACAAATTCACGTCTGCCTGTCTCGGTCTAATGATAGGGCTGGCCCTGAAATGAACAAATCAAAATACACACACCCACTCCAGTAAATAAGAAGGCAGCAAATGGTTAATCCTGGGGAAGAACCAATCCAGAGATTTCTTTGCATTGCTAGGCTGGCGGTGTGGCATCCGGCTTCCGGCACGTGGTCCCCAACGAAGTGTCGGTTCAGAGACTCTTCCAGGTGAAAGGCAGGCGAACGGCCCGGGCGCGAGAGGTCCCCGTCAGCTGGGAGAGCTTCAACACCGGCGATTGTTTCATCTTGGATCTGGGCAACGTACGTTTCTTGCAGGGTTGCGCGTCGTAGAAGGATAGCCAGATTTTGTGGCTCTTTGGGAAATGAACACGAAGTGGCTTTGTCATCCCTTGGTGGCTTCTAGTAGGTTGTCTACAATGATTTAAGGCACCTCTACGATATATTTAAAGCGATGATTTTTGCTATATCGTGGTGCTTTTTGCAACGCAGACTCAGGATCTCAGTAAAGGACACAATTATTTTGGCCGGGCCGTGGTGCAAAAGAGCTACTGGCTCCTGCTTCTCAGGAGTAAGCAACGTGCTGGAAAAATATGCCCTCCTCGGCCAGGCCAAAATCTGTTCCAACCTTCTTGAACGTTTTTGTCCTTTTTTATATCCCTGTGTTTTGGGGGTCAATCCTGGCTTGTCGCAAGCTCGAAAGCAAGCTTGTTTTCACAGCTGGCCGTTGAAAAGGACCGATTCCAGCCTGAAGTATTCCCTTGAGGGAACCGGATTCTCAAAAAGCGTCCCCAATATTTTCCAGTCCTGGGAAATGTTTGAGTGGAATATAAGTATTTATAAACAAATAAATCTGGGGCAAATCACGAGGTCCCATGGCCTTAGACATTACTTCTCTTGATGTTTTCCCAGCCGCGACACAAATTCAGCTCTCACTCCTCCCTTGTGTAATTTCTCGTATCTTCAACTTCTTCCTCCCTCTCTAGTTTATTCATCAATGGTGCGGTTCCCAGGCTAATAGGTTTGAAAGGCTGAAGGCCACCGAGGTGGCCAAAGGCATTCGGGATAATGAGAGAAGCGGACGCGCAAGGGTCTACGTTGTAGACGAAGGCAGCGAGGGGGAAGAGATGCTCCAGGTAAGTATTTTGAAGGACGAGCCGGCAGGAATGAGGATAAATAGTCTCATGGCACTGTAGCAACAAAGACGTTTTATTTGGGATTAAGTCGCCAACGCTCCTGTCGAGTTAAACTTGCAGGTCTTTAAGCTACCAGAGCACTCTTGGTTTTTCAGATATGTGTTTATTTGTTTGCTCACAAATATATGATAGGGATCTTTCTCAGTTTACTTGCTTTATTGGTCTGATAAAATTAATTTGGATTGGATTGACGTCATCCAGAACTTCTTTGACAACATCCACTGGATTTAGTCATGGAGGGCTTTCTTCACTTCAATGGGTCAAACTGCCCGAAACATCTCTAGATTCTTAGTTTATTCTTTTCTCTCCTTGTTTCTTTCTTACCAGCCTTCCATAGTCTGATCACTCCAAAAACGCCCCTCGATCAGCAGGCTTGTGTATTGCAGTCTTCGCCGGTGAATGATACAGGGATTTTTCTTTTAATATTTTTAGACCGTGGATAAATGAGTCAGTGGATACTGATTCTGCGGATAAGGGGATGGTCCTACTGCATTAAGAATTAAATTTATCTCACTGCCTTCCAAATGTATCCCATACTTCAATGGTCCCCAACCTTGGGCCTCCAGATGTTATTGAACTACAACTCCCAGAAGCCTTCGCCACCACCTCTGCTGGCCAGGATTTCTGGGAGTTGACGTCCAAGAACATCTGGAAGCCCAAGGTTGGGGACCACTGCGCACTGTACTTGATGATTTGAGACCTATAGCTGGGTCTGACCAAAAATAATTGACGCCTGAGGTGGAAAAACAAAATGGTGAAGACCCTCTTATATTGGTCGGACAAGCTGCACAGAATTGTCCAGATCTTCTCGGATCTTGGAGAGAATTCCTCTGAGGAGCATTTGAACCGTGTCTTTCCAGAGATGATGTGAGGAGGTCTAAGAACGATGGCGTTGGCGCGGAATGCCACAGGCCGGTGGTTCCCCATCTTGGGTCTCCAGATGTTCTTGGACTAAAACTCCCAGAAGTCTTCTCCACTCGCTGTGCTGGCCAGGATTTCCGGGAGTTTTAGGCCAAGAACATCTGGGGACGCAAGGTTGGGAACCACTGCTGTACACCATTATGTTATTGCTTTTTCCAAAAAGGCAGCCTCTCTCTCTCTCTCTCTCTCTCTTCCCTAGATCAAATTCATGTCCTAAACTCAACATTTTGTACTTGTTCTTCCTCTGATCTCCCTAAGGTTTTGCGCTTGACGATTTCATTCCTTTTTTTTCCCCATTCCCTCTGCTTCTTGAAACTCTCCTGTTATGCAACCAAAAAAATTTTTTTAAAAAAAAAATCCAGTCCTTTGGGAAGAAGATATTTCCAGGAAGATGTTGTTCGCTTCTTTCCCCCTTTTTGTGGGGAAGGGAGGAGCGTCTAGGGAGCCAAGAGTCGGCTTAACCCACAAACAACCAGAAGCTTGAATGGTTCTCCAGCTCTCTCTCTTGTGCAGGCTAAAAATCTCTGCTCTATTTATTAAAAGTGTGTATATATATATATATATATTTATTTATTTGTTTTCTAGGTCCTGGGACCCAAGCCCAGCTTGCCTGAAGGCGTGAGTGATGATGTCAAAGCTGATGCAATCAACCGAAGGCTGGCTAAACTGTACAAGGTATGAGGAGAAGCAGATGGGCAGTGCAGCCAAAAAATGGGGGGAGGGTTTGGGAGGGAGGAAAACATGTGTTTTGTCTCTGAATACAACAGAGGACAACTTGCGTATTTGCGATGGTTTTTTTTGAACAGAGGATGCAATGTGAAAGCTGTCTTAACCCACTTGCCTACCATTAGCTAAGTCTCCCTTTTCCCTTTCGGTTTTAGCAAAATGATGGGAGTCTTCTGAACAAACATGAGCACTTGATTGATTGATTGATTGATTGATTGATTGATTGATTGATTGATTGATTGATTGATTGATTGATTGATTGATTGATTGATTGATTGATTGATTGATTGATTGAATTTATATCCCACCCTGTCTGGCAACCAGGCCACGGTGGGCGGCTAACAACAATATGAACAACAATATTAAAACACGATTAAAAAAAAATAAGTGCCTGCTTGCAGAAGGACAGCAAAGATGGGGCCAGCCTGGCCTCCAGTGGGAGGGAGTCCCACAGTCTGGGGCCATCCTCTTAGAGGTTCAAGAACATTAAGTCACATTATTCCCTTTCCTAATCTATTTTCAGTTTTAATTTTCAGACATTCAAATGCCTCTTTTGATATTGTTCTGGAATGGTGCAGCCATCCCCTTAAAACATGTAGGCGAGAACCCACAAAAAGCTGCTTATGAATTGATGCTTGATTTAATTCTTAGCAGTGCGCCCGTTGTGTGACTTAGCGCACAACTAAGAATTGGATTGGGAACTCGTTCCTCAGCAGCTGTTCCTTGCTCCGATTTAAGCCATTGCCGTTACAGAGGCATAAATATTCTCTTGTACTCTGGCCTTATTTATTAATTAGCTCACTTTGGATGCCTTAGTCACTCCAGAATCCATCTTCCGGTCAATAATTGATGAAAGATTAATGGCTGCATTGCACTTAACAGGTATCCAATGGGGCAGGAAATATGGCGGTTTCTCTGGTGGCCGACGAGAATCCCTTCTCCCAGGGAGCCTTGAGCTCAGAAGATTGCTTTATTCTTGACCATGGAACTGATGGCAAGATCTTTGTCTGGAAAGGTAAATCATAATTTAAAAACAACAGATTTTATGCACTGATTTTTATGTGTTATTGAGATATATATGGGGTCTCATAAATCCCTTCTTTCACCAAAGGTCCTTCATGCCTCAGCATTATAAATCCTCCCTCTTTGCATTGATTGTTGTGTTACCTAAACTGACACACAGACGTGTGTATGTCTTTTCGCACACCCTTTTGTTGTTGTTGTTGTTTTTAGGGAAAAATGCCAACGCCGAAGAAAGGAAGGCGGCCCTAAAAACCGCCTCGGAGTTTATCACCAAGATGAACTATCCCCGTCACACACAGGTGAGGAGGAAGGAAACAGTTGCCCGTACACAACTTTCGGGGCTTTTAAGTGGAATTTATCAATAATAATGGAGAAAAAAATAGATATTGTGAACAGCTGGTTTGCAGGGTGACCGCACCATGGCATCCTTTACTGAAAAGAAAATGGCTGCCATTTCCATTTTTACAAAATGGCGGCCGTTGGGGGTTTTTTTTGGTCATTAGACATTCAGCGAGTCCCATACACAAATTTGTGATCTCCAAATCAGTCTCTTGTCAATTATGATCCCAAAATCAGTGTTTTCCTGAGCCATAATACTGCGCCGAGAAGGCTGGGAGATGTCACTCTGAGAAATACAAAAATATTTCCCATAAATACTTCCCAGCGCTTTCACCCTCGCTCTCTCCATTAAATTATTTGGGAGAAGGGCAGTTTAACAGATCTAGAAAGCTGATATTAATTTGCTCCATATTTTTTTTAAAAAAATACTGCGAACTGCTTTGAATCCGCTTGAGGAGAACGGTGGAGTACAACTGGTTTAAATAAATAATTGTGCGCAACACTCTAGAATGAGAGAGAGGGACATGCGATCCAGGGGCTGTTGGATCACAACTCCCATCATTCTGGACTATAATTAAGCCCTGCTGGTCAGAGGACGTGAAAGCTAGAGTCCCAACAAATCCGGAGGTTTTCCGCTATTACTTTCTGGGGTGATTTACGCAGAAATGAGTGTGAAATTGTGGTCTTTAAATGGAAATTCGGTCCAAAATGGCTCAGAATGAAACTCTTCCACCCTGGAATATTTTCTTTATTTCAGATCCAAGTCCTTCCGGAGAGCGGGGAAACTCCTATGTTCAAGCAGTTCTTCAAGAACTGGCGCGACAGGGACCAGACCGAAGGCTTTGGGATCCCCTATATCACCGGCCACGTGGCCAAGATCGAGAAAGTGCCTTTTGATGCCGCCACGTTGCACGTTACGCCAACCATGGCCGCCCAGCATGGCATGGAAGACGATGGCACTGGGAACAAACAGGTAGCGAAGGCGGCGAGGAAGGCGGCCAAATCTTTGCCCCGTTGGCCAAATCCATAGGTCCTTAGAAGGCTCACGTCTCATCGACAGAAAGAAGAACACGTGAATTCTTGCATTGACTCGATAGGACTGCAAACAAGTGTCACAAGAAGTCTGGCATGAAGGTGTCATCACTTTGAACCCTCCAGATGTTTCTTGACTATATCTCCCATCATCCCCTGTTACCATGGTGGGGATGATGGGAGCTGAAGGCTCTTGTCCTGAACCGCCCACCTATTGGCTTCATTGAGTAAACTTCAATATTTATTCTAATAATTTTAGTTCTAATAATTTTAGACACCTCGGTCCCATCCTGACCCCCAGTGATCTCTCTCTGCCCCAACCCCCAAATTGTCTCCGACCCTTTGGTCACATTTGTGACCATTTATAGATGCATGATATACTTTTTTTTTTGGAGACAGAATATATAACTTAGAGGCAAAAAGTTATAAAAGATTTGGCTATTCCTCTGGAGTTACAAACAGCCCTAAAGGTTCTTTAAGATTAACAAGTTTTACTCTATCATAACTATCTGTGGATTCTTATACTGTAAACGGCTAGTCTTAAAGATGCCACCGGATTCATTGTTTTAGCTCCCCATACAAATAATAGCCTTGTCGTACAGAGGTTAAATTGCAGTACTGCAGACAAAACTCTGCTCACGATCCAGGTTCAATCTCAGCTAGCTGGCTGGACACTTTACTTTTTACTTTAATATGACAACCCTTTTCTCTCTTTCTGATTTGGGATTATTTCTTCTCTTTCCTCTACTGCAGATCTGGAGAGTAGAAGGTTCAACCAAAGTACCCGTAAATCCTTCAACGTATGGCCAATTCTATGGTGGAGACAGCTATATTATCTTGTATGATTACAGACATGGAAACAAGCAAGGGAAAATCATCTATACCTGGTATGGAAGCTTTCTCTCTCTCTCTTTTTAAAGCACAGAGAAATGGAGAAGGGAGGCCTGTGGATGCTGGGAGGGGTGGTGGTGTCAAAAACATGCATGCAAATAGGGCCACCCCAGTGCGGGAATACTTGATCTTTAATGCCAGTCCAGAATCATCTATACCTGGTATGGAAGCTTTCTTTTTTTAAGCACAGAGAATTGTGATGGAAGGGGGCTGTGGATACTCTGTGTGTGTGTGTCTGTGTGTGTGTGTGGGAATACTTCATCTTTAATGCCAGTCCATTGCAAAACCTGCAGCAAATCAACAGAAGTAATAGAAAACCTATATTTATTGCCTAAATGAATCCATTTAGTGATAGTGCAGGAGGAAAAGACCCCTAGGCTCAGATACAAAAACCCTTAAAGCTGATTTCCACGCATGGAGGAAGGTTGGTAGGCGTTATGGTGGAGACCCCATGTGTTGGTTGCCTCTTTGTAAGACAGGGAAACAACATCTTTAGGCTTCCGGGAAAGAAGACAAAGTAATGTAATTTATCTCAGAAGAAGGGAACTACTTCTGAGTATTCTTTAGCTAGAAAATCCTGAAAAATTGTTGCTATAAGTCAGAATTTTGACCAAACTCCGGGAGGCAGTAGAAAACAGGAGGGCCTGGCATGCTCTGGTCCATGGCGTCACGAAGAGTCAGACACAACGACTAAACAACAAACAACTCCATGGGGTCACGAAGAGTCGGACACTACGACTAAACAACAATAAGTCAGAATTGTCTTGACAACACATGATTATTATTTAAAATAGTTACTTGGGATTATTATTTAAAATGATTAGAAATACCTGGCTATTTATTGTCTACTGGGCTCTCTCTCTCTCTTTGATAGGGGGATGTTGTGTTTTACTTCTAATGCATAGCAGCATTGAGGCAAACAATCTCAAGTAAAACAATGACAGGCAAGGTTATTAGGTTTCTTTGGCTCATTTTAGGGATTCTGCTTCAGCCCTTCTCTTTTATCAAGATTTCTTTTTTGTGCGCTCTCCTGCCCAAAGTCCTCTTGCGATTCAAGCTTTGTTTCACTGGGCTTGGAAAATCAGTCCTGCCTCGTGCGCTCAATATTTTTTTCCCATGTTGTTGTTTCTTTGCAGGCAAGGTGCGGATTCTACTCAAGATGAAATAGCAGCGTCTGCCTTCCTGACGGTCCAACTGGATGAGGAGCTAGGAGGCACCCCGGTGCAGGTATCAAAGACAGGGGCGACCGGGGGGGGGGCATCTTGACAGGCGACATCATCTGTGGCGCAGGGGAGAGAACTAGGTTTATGAAGAGAAACTGCAGAAGTCCAAAGTGATTACAGGGTTAATGAAAGATGAAGATCTGCACAAAGGATCATGGCTGGATCGCCCTAAGACTACAAAACACATCACTGTGTGTCTAGATGAAAACATTCATTGTTTTTAATGGGCGTAAAGGACACATTAAGAAACCCAGGTGAAATCTACAGTGGACCACATCACTGTGTGTCTAGATGAAAACATTCGTTGTTTTTAATGGGAGTAAAGGACACAATTAAGAAACCCAGGTGAAATCTATGTCCGCACGAGCCTAGGAAATGGATTTGAATGTTGATATAGAGCAGGGGTTGCCAGCTAAGACTAGAAAACACATCACTGTGTGTCTAGATGAAAACATTCGTTGTTTTTAATGGGAGTAAAGGACACAATTAAGAAACCCAGGTGAAATCTATGTCCGCACGAGCCTAGGAAATGGATTTGAATGTTGATATAGAGCAGAGGTTCCCAGCCTTGGCTGTCCAGATGTTCTTGGACTAAGACTCTCAAAAGCCTTCACCCCCCAGCATTGATGGCCAGGATTTATTGGTTTTATAGTCCAAGAACACATCAGGGGAGCTAAGGCTGGGAACCACTGATGTCGCAGAAAGAGAGATCACAGAAAACCAACTTAAGGGGAAAAGAGAGTCGCTAATGAACGGACTGTTGGGTTCTGTTGGGTTCAAAGGCACAAGGTGAGCCCATAATGATGCACCTTACGGACAGCAACAAGTACCATATTTTTTTTTCATGTATAAGACGCCCCCATGTATAAGACACCCTCCACTTTTCTAACCCAAAAGTAAGAAATCTAAGTGGGGCTTAGCAAGTGTAGGGGGGAAAGGGATCAAAGCCCTGCAGGATCGCTTTGATCCCTGCTTTCCCTTCCACTTGTTTTTGTTCTCACCTCAGCTTATTTCTGTGTTTAAGACGACCCTCAATTGTTATTCTAAAAGTATAGTTTTATACATGGAAAAATATGGTAATTTTGTGTGCTTGGTGGTGGAGCTATAGTCTTATACATAGAAAAATACGGTAATTTTGTGTGCTTCGTGGTGGAGCCGGCTTGTTTTCAGGGCAGCGTCACCTGACAGGATGAGACGTGAAGAAGCATCGAGTTTAAAAAAACGTTTTTCACTCCATAGATTTTGTTTCCTCACAGAAACGAGTGATTGAGGGCAAAGAGCCGCCTCACCTCATGAGCTTGTTTGGCGGGAAGCCTCTGATTGTGTACAAAGGGGGCACGTCCAGGGAAGGAGGCCAGACAACCCCAGCGCCGACACGCCTGTTCCAGGTTCGATCCAGCACATCTGGCGCTACCAGAGCAGTAGAGGTACGTGAGCCCCCACACATACCCCCAAATAAAGTTCATGGATATATTACCTGGATAACTACCCCTCTCTTATTCACTGTTGGCCATTGCTTTTTCACAGAAGGGTTAACGGTCCTATATAAACCTGTGTCAATTGCCTCAAACCTGATTTTGGGTTGTGCACATACACCACTGTTGTTATTGTTGTTTTCAAAATTGGGTTCGCCGAAATTTTTACTGCTATAATGGGAAGAGGTAAGGACCTGGGGATGGAATATTTTTTGGCTAGCGTTAAACAGATTTTGGACATTGACGCTCGGAGACGGTGATGGAAGAGGCAGGCAAATTCAGGCAGTAAACCCCATCAAATCAAAAAGTCAGATCGGGAGAGAATAAGTCCGGAGAGGTCAAGAGAAGCCAGTTCTCAACTAGCTTAGTCTTGGCAAATTCAGGTGGGCCGTATTCAGAACCATGGCCAGCTCCCCATGACCACCACTGGGCTACCGACAGTCAAGTCAGGCCTTAAAATTGGACAGCCACTAGATTTCCTGGGGTGCTAACCAAAATCCTTCCAAGGCCTGCGGTCGTTTCTACCATCTCGTGTTCTTGCATGTTTGCGGAAGAAGAGAATTCCAGTAGCACAGGAGCTGTCCTGGAAGAGATGCCCTATAATGGGGGCGTCTACATCACCCGTTCTAACGCCACACACTCTTGCGTTCCTTTACAGGTGGACGTGGCTGCTAAACTTCTCAACTCCAACGATGCCTTTGTGTTGAAGACGCCTTCCACCACCTACCTCTGGGTGGGCCAAGGAGCCAGTGACAGTGAAAAGGCTGGCGCCCGGGAGCTGGTGAAAATTTTGGGAGCACGTGCCACCGAGATTGGAGAAGGCAGAGAACCAGGTTTGGAAAAAAACATCTTCACCTCCTGTTTTCCCTCTCTTGAGCTTCTCTGATCCTCATTTTGGACCTCTGGCCATTTGTCGTGGTCTTTCCTGGAAGCCAAGAGATCCGTGCGGTTGCCAACCAGGGGGGGTGAGGGTGTTGACAAAACCTTGTGTAAAGCTGTCACTTTCCTTTACACAGACGCTTTCTGGAGCGCTCTTGGTGGAAAGGCTGCCTACCGCACATCCCCGCGGCTGAAGGACAAGAAGATGGATGCGCATCCCCCTCGCCTCTTTGCCTGCTCCAACAAGAGCGGACGATTCACCGTGAGTATCTCACTAGCTTTGCTGGCACACCATCCAGAAGACCGTATTCTAGCGCATCAACGATTGGCATTCGTCGCAGTTCCCACCAGATCCAACCCGTAGAGACTTTTAATTGGATCAGACTCAGGCGGAAGGTTCCCTTGAGATATTTATGCATCTGAACACCACCTTTTTGCCCTTCCGGTTTAGATTGAAGAGGTGCCTGGAGACCTGACCCAGAGCGACTTGGCCACAGATGACGTGATGCTCTTAGACACCTGGGACCAGGTATATCTTTTTCTCCCATAGAACCAGGTCTTTTCATGTGTATTCGAGCCGAGACGTCTCACAAGGCCTTAGATGAGAATTTGTGTCTCACCCAAGGAATTTTTGCTTGGCTTTTAAAAAAGGTCTTCATCTGGGTCGGGAAAGACGCCCAAGAGGAGGAGAAGACAGAAGCTCAAACATCAGGTGAGACGGTTAGTGGGTTCTGGGGTGCTTGCTTTCTTGACAAAGAGCCCTTCGAGCCTTTTATAAGCTAGGAAGAACAACACCGAACAGACGCACGACTCAAAGCCAGAATCTAGCCGGTTTAGCTCGCTTGGGCCACACTCTTCTCTACCTCCCTGGGGAGTAAGTCTCACCGGGCAACCCACTCTTGATGGTAGAGGGAGTCATGCTCCCCCCCCATCACATCTAGCCTATGGGACGGGCTGGCTGAGGGACAGAAACGATGCCCACATTGAGTCTTGATACTTCCTGCCCCCCACGCAGGTAGACAGAGCTTACTCACGAGCAGACTCAGCCCTTAACTCCACTTCTAGGACAGATCTGCCCGTGGGCACCCAAGTTTATATTTTTAAAAGTAGCAATCAACTTCCGAGCCACCGCTTTTGAGCTGTTTGTCTGTTTATTTTGGCTAGAAAACGGGCGACAGCGTCTTATCTATGGCCTCCCTCCAAGCTTCTTTCTGTCTCTATGGGTTTTTATTTTCTTTTGTTTGTGCCTTTACAGCAAGGAGATACATCGAGACCGACCCTGCCAACCGTGACCGGAGAACTCCCATCACCCTGATCAGACAAGGGTTCGAGCCGCCCACCTTCACCGGCTGGTTCCTGGGCTGGGAAGATGATTATTGGGATGTCGATCCTCTAGAGAGGGCCCTGGCGGACTTGGCTGCATAAAGGAGAATTGCTTTTTTATATGTTTTTTTTTTTTAAGAAACAAGAAAAAAAAACCCGGCTTGTCTTCCTTGCTTCTAAAGAGGCCTTCCCTCATTGTTCCGGTGGATGCAATTGGGGGACTACGGTACTGGTCTCATTTTAACTCTTTTTTAAAAAAAAGACTAGCTCAATTCAACTGTACGATAGCTGGGCAATAGTTCAGGCCCGACCACACCATGTAGGCGCTTGATGACTGCCTTTAATAAAGCTTAACGTGGAACTTTTAACCAGTCGTTGTGTTTCTTTTCCTGGAATGGTCCTCTCTGTTCTGAAAGCCATTGCTAGTCCCCATGTTGGGCTAAGATAGTGCTTCCTAGCCTTGGGTCTTGGGGTGTCCTTGGACTGCACCTCCCAAAACGCTTGCGCACTAGCTGTGTGAGCAAATTCTTTGCGGTCCAAGAACGTCCGGGGACCGAAGGTTGGGATCCACTAAGGTTAAGATTTATAAGGGAAGTCCTCAAGAGACAGGGAGATTCAGAACCCACTCGGGCCAGATTTGGACCCGTCGAAGCTGGCGGGAGAATAATGTTGTGTTTAATATGAAACGGGAATTAGATTTCAAAAGATCCCGGGGCTCTGATGAATGGGAAAGCGAGACAAACCAAATAAGCTGCTTTTGAAATCATCCCCAACGCACGGCTTCTCCCGCTACCTGTAACACCTTTCTCATGTCACCGACCAACTTTTTTAAATCAGCCTCCAAAATAGCAGCCGACACTAATGCACTGCATGACACGTCCCATTGCATTCGGGCACCCTGGGAATGAAAACGGTTCTATCCTGCACACAGAGGGTAACACTTGGGTAAGAGACCATCTGTGAGCATCAAGTGTTGTACGCAATTTCTTCTTAGAGGAGGCTCTGTGGATGAGAAGCCATGCTTTCCTGGCAGAAGAGTCCCAAGTTCAAATCCTGTCCTTTCCAGATAGGGCTGGAAATACCCCTGCCCGCCCAAACTCCCCAAGTTGGCAGTCAATAATACCAAACAAGGATCTAACTCAGTCTAAGGTATCATCTTACGGGCATTATCGTTACACACCTCTGGGAGATAATGGTGGGATGGGGCTTCCAGATAGACCTCTCCAAGCACTGCCGGTCAAAACATGGAGCAGTTCCATTTTCTTGAGGTTTAGCCCTAAAAAATAACAGCAGCTGTGAAAGCAGGAGAAATACGGGGGAGGCTTAGAAAGGGAAGCGGGCTGGATCACTTGGTGGTTTAGGTCTCTGGATGCAGAGCCAGAGGTTCGGAGTTCGATTTCCTCCACTGTGCCTCCAGGCTCCGATCGTGAGCCACGCCTGCTAAGGATGGAAGAAAACCGGGTGTACAAATATTTTAAATAAATAAAGAATGGGAGCAGGGCAGTAACAAAGGGGTCCAGGTCTTTACCAAGGAAAACACTTTATTTCTGTCTTGGGGGAGTCGGGAAGAGGGAGAGAACATAATATAAAACTTTTAAAAACCCAGCTGACCCCTATGTAACACTAGCAACCGACATCGCTTTGGGGCCGTGAAGTCCTCGTGGCCTTTTTTTGAGAAGAGCGGCTCGTCGAAAAACCAACGCACTGCGTTCCCACCACCGCGTCTCCATGATGCCGAGCTAAGAGTAGCTGAAGACAAGAGAAGGGTTCCGTGGGCCGGTCTTGGGGGCCTCCGGGGCGTCCGACGTCAAGCAGCGGAACTGGAAAGAGACGGGGCTGTTGCCGATGACGACCGAGGCTTCCTTCATGATCCTGGGGGTGTTGGATTTGCTCGAGGGCGTTCCTTCTGAGGGAGGAACCACCTGGAAGGCAGGAAAACCGGCAGACCTCACACTACAGCAGCAGCAGTTTGACAGCACCACAACTTCCGTGGCTCCACCCTGCGGAACACCGAGACGGGTCGATGGGTGAGGTTCTTAGGATTCTCCACTACAGCGCACTAGTGCTTGCAAAGCCTGGAAGGATAGCAGAGAATGGTAAGTACCTTGCCATGTTATAAACCTCACGTCTCGTAGGATGGAGCCGTGGCATTTAAAGCCGTCTCCAGCTGCTGCCGCCAGATCACGTGAGCACCCTCTTCAGAGGAGCCCCTTGAACCCCAGGCTTCCCCATGCGAAGGATTTACAGTGGTGCCCCGTTTAACAAGGAATCCGCATAGCAATTAAGTTTTTGTGATCGTTTTTGCAATTGCATTGCTGTTTCGCTTACCAATTTTCGCATAGCGATGATTTTTCAACAGCTGATCGGTGGTTCCAAAATGGCCGCCAGGTAAAAAAATGGCCGCCCGCTGTGTTTTAACCCGGATTCCTCACTTACCAGGCAGCGGAAATGGCCATCATATGGAGGATTTTCACTTTAAGGTGAGGTTTTTGCCCATAGGAACACATTAAATGGGTTTTAATGCATTCCTATGGGCTTTTTATTTTCGCATAGCGCCGAATCTGATTTTTGTTGCACAGATTATTGTCACTATGCGGGGCACCACTGTACCTCACTAATGAGCTGCAGACCCTCTCCCACCCCCCAAAAAGGGCACTCTAACAACAGCGCATGGTGGATACAGCGCCGCATTAGGCGGCTGGACATATCATTGCTGGCAGCCGCCATGAGAGAACACGTGGAAGGAAATGGCTTTCACTTAGATCGGATTGGTTCATCCCAGCTAGGTCAGAGAAGCTGACCTAGCTGCTGACGGAGACGTCGACACCCGTGTAAATCCCACTAATTCAGTAGGTCTGCTCTGGTTGGGAGTGATTGGGGCCAACAGCCGCGTAATCCCCTCAAAATACAAGCAAGTCTTGAGGGTTTTTTAAAATGCATACACACTCACTTGGACGGGAGATGCTTACCTTTACTTGCGTCCTCACGTTCTTGATTTCTATAAGCTCCACCTTGACGCCCCATCATCTGGCAGCTTCATCTACAGTGGACTGTGTTTTTTTTTTTTTAAAAAGAAAGTTTAATGTTACCAGCTAGGACCAAACGGAAGCCTAGAGACTAATTGTTTCAAGGCGTCATGGGTTACAAATGAGAAACAGTATAGAAATATTTGTAATAATTTAAAAAAACAGAAATATAAAGCCACAAACTTTGCTTAGCTATACTAGCTGGCTGGATAGGTTCAGAGATCTGTCTGGAGAGCCCGAGGTTGGGAGTTCGAATCCCCCCACTGGGCCTCCCGAGAGAAGAGCCAGCCTGGGTAGCCTTGGGCAAGCTGCACGGTCCCAGGGCTCCCCCTAGAGGAAGGAAACGGTAAAACACTTCTGAGTGTTTCCTACCTAGAAACTCTAAAAAGGGCTGTCATAAGTCAGAACTAACTGGCTAGATAGCTCAGTGGTTTTGGTCTCTCGCTACAGAGCCAGAGGCTGAGAGTTCGATTCCCCCCACTGTGTGTCTCCTGGGAGAAGAGCCAGCCTGGGTGGCCTTGGGCCAGCTGCACAGACTCAGAAGAAAGGAAAGTGAAAACACCCTTCTGGCCAGCTGCACAGACTCAGAAGAAGGGAAAGCGAAAACACCCTTCTGAGTCTTCTCTACCTGGGAAATCCTGGAAAAGGTTGCCAGAAATCAGAGCTGATTGATGGCACATACCTGGGAAATCCTGGAAAAGGTTGCCAGAAGTCAGAGATGACTTGATGGCGCATGAGGAGGAGGAGGAGGCGAATACCTGAATTCTCCGGGCAACGCTTTCCCGATTGCAGACGAGGTGCGACAGATACATGGTTCCTAGAACGTTCCTCATGGTCGTTTGAACCAGGAGCTTGGTGGCTTCCTCCGCGCTGGTGACGCTGCTTACGGCGATGGTGGGATTTTGGATTCGGTAATACAACACGCCGTCGACATCGAGCACGAGTGGATCTTTGGTAATGATCTAGGGGAGAAAACCGAAGTAGGGGGAGAAAGACAAATCAACTCACAAAGGAACTCAATGCCTCAAAGCCCAATCATAGCCACATCTACAAAAATAAACATTACTACGAATTCTTTTTTTTTTTTAAAAAGATTTTCACGGGGTCAAGTGCAGCTTAGCGGTCCGCGAAAGCGCAACACGCCGTCGACATCGAGCACGAGTGGGTCTTTGGTAATGATCTAGGGGAGAAACCGAAGTAGGGGGGAGAAAGCAGCCAACTCATTTAGATTCAATGAAAAGAAAAGAGAGAGAAGCATTTGATAACAGGACACCGAAAGACGCAAACACAACGTGACTGATGACGGTTAGGTTTCTGCTTGATTCGTTCTGAGCTCGTTCTGCAAACAAGGGCTGCGTACAGAAATGCATCGCAGGTGATTCGCAGAGCAGCTGGAGTGAAAGCGAGAGGCATCCATCCAGCTGTTACTATCAACAGACTCGTCTTGGAATACAGATAAGGTCCTTAGCGGCTGTTTTCTCCCCATGGGAAGGAACTTATTTTTGCCGCAAAAGAAACATGGCCTTGGGCATGATGCCCATGGACAGAGATGAATTTCCAGAAGCGCTTGGCTTGATTTCAGGAGGTCTCTTGCGTGCCCTTATGTGAGACCTCTGAAAAAGGGGATGTGCTCCTCCGTAGACACCGCATTCCCAACAAAATCTATTCACGTGAAATGTAGTGCTGGAGGAGAGCTTTGCAGGTAGGCTTGACTGCAAGAAAGACGAACCAGTGGGTCCTGGATCAAATCAATCCCGAACCATTTCTGGAGGCAAGAATACGGAAGCCAAGGCTGACCAACTTTGGGCCCATCCTGAGAAGGCAGGAGTCTCAGGGAAAGATTTGGTGGAAGGCAGCAGGAAAAGAGGAAGGTCGAATATGAGAGGGACAGGCTCTCTAAAGGAAGCCACTGGCTTGAGTCTACAAGAACTGAGCAGGGCAGTTGAGGACACGACGTTTTGGAAAGTGGTGATTCATGGGATCACCGTAACACATAACAATAACAACAGGGAGTGGAAAGAAAAGAGAAGAGAAGGGAAGGGAAGGGAAGGGGGAAGGAAGGAATAAAAAAATGACACACACATCCCCAAGAAAACCTGCCCATACTGAGTGGGATATACCTTCAAAAGAGCATTTGTTTAGGAGACAGTGTAACCAAGGAAGTAACCAAGGGGGAAAAAAAGGTAGGGGTATATTGGCTGAATTTTTCAGCTTTTCTGCAGAAATTATTTTTAAAAGGAATTTCTTAGTTACAGTTCTAAGGCCCAAAAAAGGAGTTTATGCAGATAGCTATAATTTACAAGGGGAGAAGCGGATGACAGAGGACGAGATAGCTGGACAGTGTCATCGAAGCTACCAACATGACTTTGACCAAACTCCGGGAGGCAGTGGAAGACAGGAGGGCCTAGTGTGCTCTGGTCCATGGGGTCATGAAGAGTCGGACACGACTTAATGAATAAACAACAACAACAA